TAACAGGATTATCTTAGTAGTATCTCTGGATCTCTCCCACCAGCGAATAGGGTGCTGCTGTCATGCCATGTCTGCCCTGGGAGCCAGAGCATCACGCTCCACCTTCCTAGTTAACTCGCCCTGGGTATGGCCTCCACTACTGGAGCAATGCCTACTCCTGCACCCAAGTCTTGCTGGACAGGAGCCCTGGCCTCTTGCCTAGAGCCGAGTCAGCATCCTGTATCTCTTATAATCCCCTTCTCCATAGCACTGCTGTCTACTATCATGCCCATTAGCTCAGCTTATCGCTCAGATCACAGTAGATTGCTATGTTCTCTTGCGCTTGACCATCCAGACCACTGGTCTTTCCTGAGTCGGCGAATCCTTCAGCTTCAGTGAGTTCCCCCGGCATATCCCTATGCAGGTGCTCCTTCCTCTTCTCCACACAGTAGGGACTCCTGGCAAACTGTGCTGCTGAGGTTGTGCATCTACAATGTAGGCAGGGAAAGGAAAGCAACTGCCAAGAGGATTAAAGATGCTACCGAGAGAGGGTAGTTGGTGGCTCAAGGTCCTCAAGCAGCCAGGGAGAATGAGCTCTGGTGTGTGGGTGTGCCTCATTACAGGAAGGCACACTTTGTCCCCAGAAATAAAAAAGAGCTAACAATAAAAAATCCTTCAATGCACTACACAGGCTTTTTGCTGAGGGTTTTGCTTGTATTATTATATTTAATACTCATACCAGCACTATACGAAGGCTCTATTATCATCCCCAATTTGCAGATTAGAAAACAGAGTCTGGAGCAATTCCATCACTGCCCAAGTCCACACAGGTGTTAAGTGATGAAGGTGGGGCTATATCCATGGCTTGACTCTGAGCTCAGGCCCTCAGTGCGTCCCCTTGGGAAGTGTGTGTGAGTGAAGAAGCAGGAGTCTGAGCTGCGGGAGCAGAAGTTGAGGGGCTAATGTTGAATGCCTCAAGGTCGTAAAGGAAAGGAAGTGAGGTCACCTCCAGAGACTGGGCTTGGGGAGTTTAGTCATCTTTGTAGAACTTAACGGGAGTAGAAAGGGTTGGAATGGCCACTGTGGGAGAGTCAGGGGAGTTGACAACATGACTACAAAAAATGCTGGACGCCAGCAGGGACCCAGCTGCGCTGCATAATGTGAATTTTGTAGTGGAACCTATGAATGCACTTTTACAAGTCTCTCCAGCAACCTTTCGCCGCCCACGCACATAGGACCACAGAAGAGCTGCAGTGCCTTTTGCTCACTCCCTAGGACTCCACACTTGATTCTAAGTCCGGAAGAGCAACATCATGTGCTGATGCACGGAGCCATCTGCAGAGAGGGGGATAATGGGATCCCACGGGGCCAGGGATGGGCCAGGTGGGAATGATGGAGGCTTGAGATGGGAAGGGTGGAGAGTTCACTGCTGAAGGGACTGACTGCAAGGAGGCCTGTGAAATCAGAATGGGACCTGGGAGAATTGTGAGCGGCTGGCAGGCTGGAGTGAAAAAGGAGCCATTTGCAAAAACACACACTTCGATGTTCGCACATCATAGCAGCCTAGGAAACAGCCATTTCCCTGCTCACCTAGGGTGAGTAATAATTTGTGTCAGGCAAGAATAAAGGAATGCTGATTTCATTCTGTTTACTATCAAGAAAACTGGGGGCTGTTCAGGCTGGTAAAACATTGGCCCCTGTACAGGTCTGGTGTTTACGAACGAGGTTGTATTACAACCACTCTGCTTTCCAAAACAGCACCCTCAGGAGAAAAGAAGTGAAGTCATTTTTCTTAGGAGGCAGAAGATTTAACATTGCTTAACAATAACACTTAACATCGCTTAGCCCTTAGCCTTAGGCAACCTCATAACTACCAAGTGCTGGGAATTGTCTTTTTCCTGTGCTGGCCAGCGTTCTGGCTTTATTTTGTGAAATGTCATTTAGCCTGGCAGCGGGCTGCATGGTCCCGCTTTAAAGATGACAAGAGTTCCATGAAAGCACTTGAGGTTGCCCCTTGACCAGAGCTGCTCACCTACTCCACGCGCTGTGGGGCATTTTCTCTCTGTGTCGATGACTCCAAATTTGGCATAGAAATCAATGTTATTGAATTGTTTCTAAAAAGTACTGTGAAGCATTGCACAAACAACATAGGAACCCAATCAGTCAGTAGCATATTAAGTTCCCTATAAGGTTGGCCACCGACTTCCTATAGATGGATTTATTCCTATTTTTAATTAAAAATTTAACTCCATAAATATTTCAAAGCTCCCTGCCTCTGTGATGAAGAGGGATCCGGTGCCTACTGAGATGTGCTCGCCTCACTCTCCTGGCAGAAGGAGACAGCAGTGGAGCTGGTGTGATTCAATTAAGTGGACAGTAAAATCTCCAGGGGGAAAGACAAGAAACCCAGGGTAAATGTCACTGGCACTCAGAGCAGCATCTGCATACCTTTTCAGAAGTCAGCAGTGCGTCTCTGGCCTCTGCTTTCTGCATCTCATTAGTTGAATTTGGAGCCCCCACCCATGGACCAGGGCGCAGTGCCTGGGAGGGAGCTTCACATCTCCTCTTTAGATGTTGTGTTGCAGCGTCCCCATTTAAAAGCCACTGCTAGGGGTCCCCCTCGCAGTTAGCTGAGCCTTATTTATTCTCCACCATGGCTGCCTCTGGTTGCCAGGTAGCTGCAAAGGTTTTTTGCACGTGCAATTAATTGTTCTCACCATTGTGTATGTGGGTGAGTGAACTTTTTGCCAAAATTATTTCCAGTTTGAGATGCTTCCCTTTCAGCTACAGTTTTATTCTGGGGCTGGCAGGATTTTGTCAATTCATACATTCATAAAGAGTCATAAACAGCATAAATGTATTACCTTTCTCAGAAAACCCCCACCACAGTGTTTAATCCTAAAATATACTTGTTTAGAGTCAGTCATGAGTGAGCATTTCAGGGATTAGTGAAAATAAACAAGACTTGGAAATTCAGAAGACTTTACGTTAACAATTACACACAGAAGCATTGGTTGCACTACCGTAAAAGGCTGATTTGCTTGACTCCTTTACTCTAACAGTAGAGTCCTGAGGATGGACTGGGACTGTGCCTCCAGTTTCCATATTCTCAGGGCCTGGCACATACTAGGTGATCACCAGATACATGGTGAATGAATGAATGAGTGACATTTATAGAATTTTAAATGCTATTTCTGTGCCTTTGAATTGTACCCAAAACTCCATTTCTGCACTCTGAGTGCAGATTGGTCAGGAAGATTTTAAACTGTTTCCAGTTTTCCTTTTTTTATTCTCTCTCATAAGAACATTCTATTTTCCATCTGCCTTAACCACAATTTCCATATACTTCAACAGTGAAAGCCGGAAATCTTATATGTAAAACAAATTTTTGGAAACCGCTTCCATTTTTAAAATGAAAGAAAATGTAACCGTCCCTCGGGGATGATTCCCCATTCCTTGGGGAAACGGTTCTAGGACTGCACTTCCCCCACCCCAGCCCCCGACCTCAGATACCAGAATCCACAGATGCTCAAGTCCTTGATATAAAATGGAATCATATTACTATATAACCTATGCACATCTTTCCATACACGTTATATCATCCCTAGATTACTTATAATACTGAGTACAATGTAAAGGCTATGTAAATAGTTGTTACACTGTACGGTTTACGGAATAATGACATGGGAAAAAAGTTTGTACATGATCAGTACCGTTGTGACTGTCTTTTTTTCTTGGATATTTTCGATCTGAGGTTGATTGAATCCATGGATGTGAAACCCATAGATACGGAAGGCCAATTGTACTAAGCCAAGGAAAATAGAAACAGGAAGCTAATTACAAATGAGAAAAACTTATTAGACAACATCTCTTAAAGAAAAAACAGGAAGATAAATAAAATATAGCCTTATAAAAGCTTTAAAAATATTGTATTTTGGGTGTCTTGCCTAATCAGGACAAAATTGCTTCTCTTCTAGATTTGAGATTTCATGACTTTTGAAAATAACGTACTACTTATAAGAGCAGATGGTCACTTTGGCTTTGCTCATTGTAATGTTCAGGGTGTTCGTTTTGTAAGATCACACACAGAGGTACAGTCAACATACAATGTCAAACAGTCACTCCATCTCTGAGCTGGCACTTTAATAGCTCAGCTTTGATGAAAAAGAAGCTCTACTTGGAGTCTTTCCCTCACCCCTTTAAAAGGCAATATTTGAAAACATTGCAACTTTCAGCCTGGCATTAACCTGTCTTTGTTTTTCTTTTGGATGCATTAATTCTCACACTCTCCTCACCTAACTCCCATTGTAGCTGGACTGCATGCACTCTTGGAAAAGCTGTTTCTTTGTCATGTGCTACTGATAGCAAACTAAAATTCCTCTTCATCTCACCAATAACAGCACAAGCTTTCGAGAGCCGTATCTCATTTTCAAGGGTGTCTAGTTACAGTATGAGTGGATCATGTCAGGCCAGGGTGGCCCAGCAAACTTTCCCCATGCAGTTGTTTCTTTCCCCCACTGGGTCTGTGCCTCTCAGCAATATTTGCTTACTGCCTTGAGAACAAGGTCAGATTCTAAACCAGGCAAAGAACACCTTCCCAAGTTCACATTTCTCTCCTGCTTCTTAACACCCACATGAAACTTCAAGGTTAAGACTGGTCCGCCATTCCTCATGGGTAACTCTTAGGACAGAGGATTTACTATTTGATTGTCTCTAAGCTTGGTGCAGGATGTTCGATACCATTTTTATAGCAATGGCTTAGGATTTCCATTTAGTATCCAGTATTCTTGCTGACATGTTCAATTGCAATGATATACTATTTTCTCTCCTTAAAAAAAAAACCCACAAGTATTTCAATTATTAGCACATTTGTGAAGATGGAACTAGGACTGCAGCAGACAGCAGCCAGGCAAAATTATAACATATTCCCTATTTCAAAGCCAGATTTCTATTTCATGTAGACTTCTCTAAAGACTTCATTTGTAGGTGAGCTGGAGATGGGAGACCCCTCCGTGATCTACCTGGGTAAGGATGCGTACTGCCTCTCCATCCCTTCAAAGCGGAGGTTGTGTGCATTCCCATCTGGACCCTTTCCAGGCACCTGTGGAGAGAAAAGTAATTAGAGATGAAGATCCATTATACACCCTGGTTACTGACAATGCATCTCAAAATTATAATCAGTGCACAAATGCTGTTGCCGCCTGCCAAAAATCAACCACGGAGAGGCAAGCAAGAACTCTGCATTGCTATAGGAATTGATGATTAAGCCACAAACATGGTATTTAACAACAAAGTCACTTCTTTCAAAAAAGGTCACTGTCAAACTGACTCCCTCATGTCCCCACACCAGGAATATTCTGTAGGCTGCCAGACCATTTTCTTCTTCTTATTTTTTTAAACCGAATTTAGTTTTTAAAATAGTTTTAGGTTTACAGAAACATTGAACAGGTAGTATAGAGACTTCCCATACATCCTGTACCCAGTTTCCCTCTTACTGCTAGCTGACATTACTTTGGCACATTTCTTACAATTAATGAATCAATATTGCTATATTGTTAACTAAAGTCTATAGTTTATTTAGATTTTTAACTAATGCTATTTTTCTGTCCCTGGATCCCATCCAGTATGTTACATTTAGTTTTCACGCCATTATAGTTCCTCTTGGCTGTGAAAAGACCGTATTTTTAAAAGCACCTTTTCTGGCTGGGTGCGGTGGCTCATACCTGCAATCCCAGCACTTTGTTGGGAGGTCAAGGGGGGCGGATCACCTGAGGTCAGGAGTTTGAGACCAGACTGGCCAACATGGTGAAACCCCGTCTCTGCTAAAAATAGAAAAATTAGCCGGGTGTGGTGGTGCACACCTGTAGTCTCAGTTACTTAGGAGGCTGAGGCAGGAGAATCGCTTGAACCCGGAAGGCAGAGGTTGTAGTGAGCCCACATAGTGCTACTGCACTTCAGTCTGGGTGACATAACGAGACTTTGTCTCAAATAAATAAACAAACAAATAAAAGTACCTTTTCCATAAAACCCTTCTTTACTAACCGGGGTTGCTGACAATCAACTGTCTACTCCACAGCATCCATGATGCCCCCTCGGACCACCCTGAACCTCAGTCCTCTGTCTTACGAATAGCCACACATAAGTGATGAACTGTTTTCTATCTAGTGTTGGTCTTTATTGTTTTTGTCTCTTCCTTTGTACTTCCTGTGTTTACCTTTCTTGGAGTCTTTTCCATCAGCCTCTGAGATCCTAAAGGGCAGTGACTGGCCCCAGTAGGTTTTCAATACTGTGTGTTAGCTTCTTGAATGAAAAGATATTATATCTCATCCCTCTGTAGTTATCATACCAACTAAAATCAGGATGAACACGGAACAGGCATTTAAAAGTACTTGTTGACTGATTGATTCCCCATCTGTTCACCTCAAAACACCCGGCATCACATGGACCACTCATGTGCTTGCTTTTGTTCTTGGGTATCCCTCACACAGGGGCACGGAAGGAGTAAATAGAAAACTTGGACTATCAGGTGGGAAGGAAGAGATTTTGCCAGTAAGCACAGGAAGTAACTAACAGTGTCAAGGTGAGTAGGGAAAATTTTTCTAGCTGGTACTCAACCACCTGTAAGTTATTTTCTTCTTACCAAAAGTGCCAGCTCTCCATAAAACCACCATTCCGTCCCAGCTTGTGCAGACTGTGTATATGGGGTTGGGGATATGGGGAGAGATGTTGCAAAGCAAGTACACACGTGCACTTAGATTAAGAAAGACTATTCTTGGCATTTAATTATTGTGGGAGGCCCTTTAGAGTGTGTCCTGTAAAACCTCTTTATATTTCATCAATAGGTGGAACAGGAGACACTGGGGTTATCTGAGAGGGCAAGAGTCCAGTGAGCTACTACGTAGGTAGGGATGAAGACTGTACATCTTTAAAGCAATCACAGACAGAGAGATGGAGAATTCTCTGCATTAGGATAAAAGCCTTGGTTTAAATTTCTGAACTTTCTACCAAAACCAGAGGCATGGATGATGACAGACACGGGATAAAAACAATAGAAAAGGAAGAAGTGAAGGACAAACATTGTCCTCACCCATTCCTACCTAAGGTTTGCTTTCTTGTGTTTTTAAACTGTTTCTTATGGAAAGAGAATTCCTGCAAGTATCAATACTCTGCTGAGGTTATTAATTGTGGTTGTTGGAAAATCACTATGCTTAAGTATCTATAGTATAGCTCTGGATATTCCGACGGAGCTTTTTCTTGTAGCTATAAAGTTCCAAGTTAATAGTTTTAGCACTGTTATCCGGAACTGTCCTGGCATAATGATAATAGCAGTCAGTATTCTGTTGCCTTGAGGAGACCACATGCCTGTTACTGTTCTGGTGCCTCAAGGAACAGATTATGTGTGTGTATATATATATACACACACATATAATTATATGTATTTATAATATATGATTATGTATATATACATACAAATATACATATATACATACAAATATACATATAAATATTAAAATATACATAAAATATACATAAATACGTATGCATATATATGTATATTTGCATGTATATACATATATATGTTTATATATAGTATACATACACACATCTATTAAATATACCCAATAGCATATAACATTGTAAGAAATGTAAGGTGATCCTTATTCTTAAAGAATTTTCCGTCTTGTTGGGAAAACAGCATTCAAAATGAAATAACCAAAGAATGAAAGAGGACAATGTAATTCAGGATGTTATCAGCAGCAGCACAGGTGAGGCCTGGAGGTGTCAGGAAAAACTTCACGGAAGTACCAGAACTTGGACTAGGCTTCAAAAGATAGGCAGCATGCTTGTACATAAAAAATTATTCTGTCCTTCACTAATCGTGTGTATCTTTGTATGTTTCTCTGTTGAAACTGCAACATCATTAATGCAGTCATTCACTGTATTCAAAGCAATGAAGAAATCCAGCGGGTCTTCTCATGGAAACAGGCCTGCAAACAAGTATGGTACAATGAGATCACTGTGGAAGTCTGAGGAAGGAGGCAGTGGGAGTCTGCAGGAACAAATTCCAAAGTCCACCTGGGAGAGTTGAAGACAGCATCATACGGGTGTTGAAGCGTCATCTCAAACCTGAAGATGAATGAGGAGGAGTTTTTCTGAGGCAGAAGGGTGTAGGAGTAGGTGTAGGAGTAGTAGGTGTAGGAGTAGTAGGATAAGCCATTCAAGTAAAGAGCACAGAAGTGAAAAACCATGGAGGCATAACAAAAGGACTGTATCTTCAGGGAATTTGAAGATTTTGCAAAGGTGGAAACAGGGTGTGAAGAAAAGAAAACTATTAGCTGGTAACTATACTACTGTTGCTACTACTGTGGTTATTACTGTTACTGCCACCACTGCAATTTTTAAAAAGCAACTGGTTTTTAGATCAGTTTTAGGTTCACAAAAAAATTAAGAAGGTGGTATATAGATTTCCATATAGTCCCACCCCTATGCATGCATAGCCTCCTTCATGACCCGCATGCCCACCAGTGTGCTACAACTGTTGCAACTCACTAACCTACACTGATACATTATAATCACTCATAGCCCATAGTTTACATTAGGGCTCTCTCTAGGTGTTACACATTCTATGGGTTTGGACCAATGTATAATGGCATGTATTCATCATTACAGTACCATACAGAGAATTTTCAAGGCCCTAAACATCTTAAGTGCTCTGCCTATTCATCACTCCTTCCCCCAAGTCCTGGTAACCAATGATCTTTTTACTCTCTTCATAGTCAATTCCAGAGTGTGATTTAGTTGGTATCATACACTATGCAGTCTTTTCAGATCGGCTTCTTTTACTTAGTAATATGCATTTAAGTTTCCTCCATGCTTTTTCATGGCTTGATAGCTCATTTCTTTCCAAGGCTAAGTAATATTCCAGGGCCCAGATGTAGCACTGTTTATTTAGTCATTAACCTACTAAAATACATCTTGGTTGCCTCCAACTTTTGGCAATTATGAATAAAGATGTAAACATTTATGTGCAGGTTTTTGTATGGATGTCAGTTTTCAACTCCTTTGGGTGAATACTAAGGAAGGCGATTGCTCGATCATATGGTGAGACTATGTTTAGTTTTGCAAGAAACCACCTGACTGTCTTCCAAAGTGATGATACCATTTTGAATTCCCACCAGAATTCAATGAATGAGACTTCCTGGCGTTCCACTTCCTTGTCAGCATTTGGTATGGTCAGTGTTCCCAGTTGTAGCCATTCTAACAGGTGTGTAGTCACATCTCATTGTTGTTTTGCCATTTCCTTGATGACGTGATGTAGAACATCTTTTCACATGCTTATTTGCCATATGTATATCTTCTTTGGTGAGGGATCCGTTGAGGTCTTTGGCCCATTTCTTATTCAGGTTGTTTTCTTATTGTTGAGTTTTCAGATTTCTTTCTATATTTTGGATACTTCATTATCAGATGTGTCTTTTGCAAACTTTTTCTCTCAACCTGTAGCTTCTCTCATTCTCTTGAAGTGTCTTCCACAGAGCAAAATTTTTTAATTTTAATAAAGTTCAACATATTTTATCTTCCACAGATCATGCCTTTGGTCTTATATCTAAAAAATCATCATCAAACCCTAGATTTTCTTGTATCTTCTGATAATTTATAGTTTTTAAGATTATTCTTGCCATAACTTGGAGGGTTCAGTGAAGGTCTGAGCCAGAGATTGTAAGAGCATAAACTAGAGGCTTTTTCAAAGGATGAAGACAAGAGAGTGTCATTAGGATTTCAAAGAGGTAAGATCGATAGGATTGACTGTGGATTAAAGGGACTGATGTATTTAGGATAATGCCCAAGTTTCTGAGCTTAACAACTATATGGTTTTGGTAATATTCACCAAAACAGGAATAAATGAAGAACAGATTTTGGAGTAGAGGTAGGAGGGGAATATTTAGACATATTAAACTTGACTTGGGACATTCAATGGAGATGTCTGATAGTTGAGTATAATGGTTTGCAACTTAGAGAAGTCTGGACTAGAGATGTAGCATTGGAAAATGTTCAGCATACAGATGGTACCTGAAAGCTTGGAAAAGAATGCCCAGGAAGAGT